TCCACAGACAGCAGATTTCAAAAGGTTTTTAATATATTCCAGAGGAACGATAGATACCCTCTGCTTAGAGCAGCAGAAATGCTGGTTTGAGACTTGTGTTCAAACTCTGTATTTAGCCCAAATTTCCTCTATAAGACACACATTTCCCTTTCTGGAAAGTTCACTTCACGTTTCCTCCTGACAAAGGCAGTGGGCAGTGAGATGGCCAAACTGTGAGAACAGCCCAGCAGAACAGAATCACAACTTCCCTCCCACAGGCTTAGAAAAACAAAAGGACCAGACTGACCCTTTGTTTTACTGGCATTATCAATCAATACAAATGGATTATTTCATATTGCCATGTAGTGGGTATCCCTACATGGATACCACCTCCTTTCAAACATAACAGGTCTTGCTTGGTTTCCTACAATGGGCAAGAATACTGCACACTATTGGAGGTGTCTAATCCTCCCATCTGCTGTTTCTGTAGAAAAATATTTGCTTTTTAACATCTGTACTGCATTTGCACAGTTCAAACACACACATAGCTCCTGGAATGTACATAGTATTTAGCGAATTTTTAACTAAGTTTTCTTTGTAATTGTATAGTTTTCCCTTGACAAGGAGAGGATCAGACTTCTCCAGGAGGATTACTTCTGCTCAACTTATTGCAAACAGCTCTTGAATAAAATAGTTCATTAGTTCATGAAAATTAAAAACTCCAGGGAACTGCTGGGAAAGGAAGAGAAAAGAACAGAGTGCCACAATAATTAGGTTTTCAGATTGTCCCTTATCCTCCAGAATGCAGGTACACACACACATGTCCCTGCTCCCCTTAGGTAAAGCATTTAGGAGCGCTCACTGCACATGTTTCCCTGGGAATCAGTGTTCCAGAGGCTAAAGCTTCAACCAGGCCATCGTTTCCCAGAAAGATACTAAAAGACACATGGTCCTTACAGCACGTTTCTCTTGCTAGTCTGTAGTGCAAGAGCAGAGTTGTGCTCCCACCTCCTCCCCTCCCTGCAAGTGTTTAAAGACCTTAGTTTCAGAGTTACTCAAAATTCAGTTTCTTGACCGTTTTAGGCTCCCATGGCTGATGCTGGAAAACCAAAGGATCTCCACTCACCAGGAATCGCTCGTGCCTGCCCACGTGTATAGGCAGCCTGGGAACAGCAGAGCTACTGAGTGTAGCTACTAGGGATCAGGGAAAAGATTGGCCAGGAATGAGGATGGCAAGCAGAGAAAACTGAAGGGGGATGCAGTTGTTCCCTGGCAGTTACTGACCAGAGGACAACCTCTTTTGATCTGTACCAGGCACAATACAGTGCAGAGCATCCCAGGGCCACACCAACCCACACAGGGCCAGATCATCACCAGGACAGACGATGACTGCGCAGGTTCTCTGTGGCTTTACACCACGAGGCTCAATGGGAAGTGTGGCTCACAGCAGCACAACCTCCTTGCTCTTCTCCCGTTTTCCCTTCTGTCTGCTCTGCCCTTCCATGAAAAGCATTCTGGTAGTCCATAGGTCTCCAGCCAAACTGACTAAACTGCAAACCACAATGCCAATAGATACAGTTCTGGTGATAGTTCTCTGTGCTTTGTCACCTTCTCACTTCAAATTGGCTTGAGACCACCAAGGAGCAGTTGATCATCATCAGAAACGTCACCAGGTCACTACCTGCCTGGCATGGATCAGTGACCTTGAATCACATGTTCTCAGCAGACAGTCTGACTGGAAAAACAGGGATATGTCAGAAGAATGTGCTGTAGCCTCTGCGAACTCTCCAGCCGTTAAAAGAAGTGTATTCTGAAACACGGATTTTCCTACAGATCTGTGGTGATTTTCCAAAAATAATGTTTTGCAATATCCTGAAGTTGTTACATTCCAACTGTTGTTATTACTATGGACTACAAATGAAACTGGAGTTTCGTTTGCTGACAGGGGGCTCAGTTTTAATCCACAGTCTTAGACAGGAGTCTCAGCTCTGAGCACCACGAGAAACTCCATCTAGATAACATTGCTTAAAAGGAACTGGAGCTATAGAAGGCAGGACTAAGAACTGAGATACAAGATGATATAAAACCAGCTCTTACATGAACAACGATTTGCATATCAGATTATTAAATGAAAATCCATCAAACTACCATTTATTGATGCAAACAAACAGTCTCTGCCCTATCTGTTTCTGGAAACACTTTGCCTCAGGGAAAAATTTAAACCTGGGCAGATAATCAGGATAAGGTATTTGAACACTTAAATCCTCCTGGAGTCTTCAAAGTAGGTGTTAAGTGGTGCATTAAATTTGTGCTGTTTCTTCCGAGCTGGGTGAATTTGCTCTTCTGTACATAGTGGAAAAAGCCTTTTACAATCATTTGAATCCATGAATAAATGCAACATATTAAAATTTCTAAAGTACAACCACGGAATGTTGTTGTACATAATCCAAGTGAGTGGAATAGCCAGGACTAAAATTATTTAAGAGACCACAGAAAGATAGTATGTAATTAAAATGACATCGGCGGCACTACCCAGCGAAATGAGAGAAAGTGACATCACAGAGCTCACATGAGCTGCAAGCATGTTATTAGATCCAAACCTGACTGTAAAATTACTATCTGCCCATGGGATTATCTTTGGGCATTCTGAAGCATTGTTTCATTGCTGATAGAACAGGCATGATAACAGGCTAACTTTGCTGTCACATTGGGTTTTGGCCTTTCTTTGTTGTTTTCTCACACTAGCAGCAGATGAGAAGACGACAAACTTCAGCTGAATCACTGTTGTGGAGCTTTTCATGGCTTTACAGTTTGTTCCAAAGGGGTTTTTTATCCTCCTTTCCCCAAGAAAAGAACCCAAAAGAATTTTTCATGGTGATAAAATCAATGAGCAGTAAAAGCCGCACACAATGTAATGCCTAGGAATGTGGCAACCTAAGGAATACCCATAGGCCTAATGCACCTCAGAGAGAGCAAAAGACTTTGCTTATAGCTCTCATTAATGACACAGAGAACTAGGAGCTACTTAGTTATATCTTGGCCTCATGAAAATTCAGTGCCAAAACTCCAACTGGCTTCAGTGGGTACTTTTCATCATCTAAGACCTAGGACACAGGACACAATCCTCCTTCACATGCAGGGCCACCTGGGACACCTCATCCCTCCAGATTTCATACCTGCATTAGACTGAAAAAAGCTGCATTTTGATCTGTTCCACATACCATTTTTATGTCCCTGGCAAATTATTAAGTATATATATACGTGTAACAAGACTCATGTGCCACCAGACTAAAACAGTCAAAATTCTAAGAGCATGTAGTAAGACCGGCAGTGAAAAGGGGGGAAAAAAGGATGCCTCAAACTTTCCAGTCACTTTTGAAAGCCTCTATAATGATCCTGAACTGCAAAGGGGACTTAGTTTGCCCTCAGAAATCTGGTCCTAAGTGTCTAACTCCCAGCATTTGAAAGAGTTCCCATATGTCACTTTTTCAAACTAGGCAAAAGTCCAGGAGCAGATGGGTCCACAGCCAGTCATGGACTTGTGCATACTCTGTAAAGGCAAACATGGACCTTGTACTTTCCTCCCCAGTTCCCTGATACTGGGCAGCTACTGCTGTGTGTTAGCTCTTTCCAGCACCTCCCAATATCCTTTCCAATACAGCCTTACACCTCTGCTCCATTGACCACTGAAAGCTGCAAACTGGCTTCATACTTAGATTTCTGCCTCCTGCTCTCATTCCTACAGTCCTGCTTTTCTTTGTGTTTTCCTTGTTTAAGGGAGTGACCGTCTCTAGCACAGTGAAGGATTTAGTCCATAACCACACAGCAGCACAGTGCTACTGCCACAGAAACATACTGCATTTTAGCAACAGGATTTAAGACCTTTTAATCCACACTAGATTGTTTCATTATCCCTTTTACCCTTTGCTAATTTATACACAGAATAGACTTTCCATGCAGACCCCTTTGGCATGAATCTGTGATGCCAAACTCTCCATACACGCAGGATGCCATTACAAGTTCACACAGGACCTGTGCACTAGAAATAAGGTGTCTGCAAGCAGCTCAGACACACCAGCCCTGTTAGAAAATGTTCCTCCAGCAGCCAGCCTGGGCCAGAATCGATGTTTATGAATTGTGAGCTGTTTCTGGCCAGTCAGTGGTGCTTGCCTTCTTTTGCATGTACAGAAGGATGAAGACCTAAAGGCTGGTGAAGGCAGAGGGTGATAAAGGTGGGCTGGAGGAATGACAAGCAGGTGGTGATAAAGTGCAACCAGCACAGAAGTGGAAGTTCACTGCATGAAAAGTCAAAGAGCATAACATGCAACACAACAAAGAGCAGCAATATCTGTGAATATCAGTTTTGGTTTTAAATGTGTCCTGGCTGTAAAGTAGGTTAAACCCCTTCAGACTCCTTATGCCCAGACAAAACAGCTAAGAAATTATTTGCTGAGACTGCATACCCATTTGTTTGCATGCTTCAGGTGGTATTTACTACCTTCCATTTAGCCATCTCAATACCAAGTAACTGCTCTAACCAGATATTCAGGTCCTTTCTGTGTTCCAAAGCAGTAGGAACTGTAACAGGACTGTATAAAACCTGCCCTAGCTCCTAGGCAGTGACTGGGCTGAACACTCAGTGAGGCCGCCTTTTTGTCTGGTCATTAAGGAAAAGCAGTATAGACAAGACATTTGACTTCAAGATGACAAAATTTCTACAGGGTGAATCTTTCCTTCTGGGTCTAGAAACTGCATGGAAAAATCATCCCAGATAGAACATTTTCTGCATACTTACCTGAGCAGAAGTGCTAAGAGAAGCAATCTAGTAATGTGTTAACAACTCTGCACCAACACCAAGCCTGTCTGATGGCACATAAAACTAAAAAGTAACAAAATCTTCCCTAAAATATGTTGAATGTTCAAACAGACTGAGTCTGTTTTCAAAACTGAGGCTTATGCCACTTCCCACTTTTCCTTAAAACATTTGCTTATCCATATATTTACCACAGAAACAGCCTTACCTCAGCTGCATCTTGCTGGTGTCTGTAGGCAATTGCATTTTTTACAGTTTGGATAAAAAAGCTATTCACTTCCTTTTGTTTCTTGTTTGGAAAAACACGTAGCAATGGGATCATTATGAATGGGAAAGAAACTGCAAGAGATTTGAAAGAAGAAAACATTGAACCAGACTGTGAAGGCAGAGAATAGTCCCCCCTTTCATCAATATTACAAAACTCATCCAGCAGGCTGTGTTCCTGATGTGAAACCTGGTTTTCCCTCGTTCCCTCTCCCTTGTTTTCTTCCACCCCCATAGGCTGCTAGAGGATTCCCTTTGAGATATGCCATGCTGGCCAGGGCTCTCCTGCCAGACAGATTCCTTCCAAGTTTGCTTCCATCATGCTTCAGGATTTAGGTTCAGCTTTTTGATGTCACAGAGCCACCACAGCAAAGGGAGCATTATCCCTCCTGCCTACTCAACCAACCACATAAAGAAGGTTGGACTAGCAGCTTATGGCACTCATTTACAGTGCTCCAGCATTAGGAGCCTATAAGAAAGATGGAGACAAACTCTTCAGCAGAGCCTCCTGCAACAGGACAAGGGATACTGATTTTCAGTTACAAGAGAGTCAGTTTACTTTAGATATATAGCAGTAGGTTTTTACAATGAAGATGGTGAAACACTGGCACAGGTTGCCCAGAGAGGAGGTAGAGGCCACATCCCTGGAAACATTCAAGGTCAGGTTGGACTGGGCTCTGAGCAACATGATCTAGAGGAAAATGTCCCTTTCTGTGGTGGAGGGGTTGAACTAGATGACATTGAAAGGTCCCTTCTAACCCAAATCATTCTATGATTCTATTTTATTTTGCTTCTTTAAACAGGCCACAGGTTCTGTAAGTGAGATGTTATCACAGGGATGGTCTGCAGTCCATGGCCTTTATAGCCAGGAATTAGAAACTTGAGTGAGGTCTTGCATCTTAACAAACCCCTCACAAAGTTATGAATGACTTATGACTAACAAGCTGGTCACTGGAAAACCTCTGTCCTGCCAACAGGGCAACGCAGTGTGGACATTCAGACCACCAGAGTGGGGAAATTCAAACTAGCATAACATGATGAACCAAGGAATACAAGCCCAAAACCAACAGGAACTTCCTTTAATGAAGCACATGGTCTTAGACATCTAGGGGCACATTTCTGTCCCTTAAGAAATTGGTCATGAATCATATTTCACAATCAGGTTAAACATTAACCCCAGGACATTTTGGATACACAGCTCCAGAAGGAAACAGCTCATGCACTGTGAGTGCAGGTGCAATCTGTAGTGCCAGCAGGATCAGATGGGCACAGGAAACTTTTCCACTGTGCCACCTGACACTATTGTATGCAGATCTAGACAGCAAGGTGATAAAACCTCAAAAACCTTGATTATGCTGTGGCTTCCCCAGCTCCGGTTCTTACTGCTCTTGACTTGACACGACAGCATGGAGACTGTTTCATGCCCTAGAACTAAATGGTTTTACAAACCATTCTTGCATTCCATACCTATTAACCTGAAAATAAATGCATTCTCTCCACAACACTTGTTACTTTCATTCTGTAGAGCCATCAACCAGGATCCTGCTGGACTTACACTATCTGCTCATGCTCCTCCAGCTCTTGTCTTCAGTGGGTTGTTAATGTTGTTAAGGGATGGAATTTCAATCCTCACCAAGCAAACTAAGTGCACAAAATCTTTAGGCTTAGGTTCCAAAGGGCAGTTACTCTGTTTTAGTGAGAAGTGTAGAAACTACAGGTCCCAGAAACTTTCCTCTCAGATCAGCCCAGAGTATTGTGTTCCCAGACTCTCAGTTTCTGGAGTAAGTTTCACTAATGGTGACAAGAGCTGTGGAGAATATGGTGGAAATCTCAAGGGTGTATTTGGCCTCCGAAATAAAGTCTCCTATAAGTCTTCCTGCTTCAGCATGTTTTGCAATTTGAGAATGACTCTTAGAAAACTGCCATAGGAAGGAGAAAAATGTAGGCTATACTCACGAGTTAGAATGAGGAGAGGCTTAAACAAAGACATTTCAAAGAAGGTTCTGCAGTTCTTAACAAAGGGATCATCAGGATTCTTCTGAGAATCCACCTCAGTACCGAAAGCGACGCTGCCAACAACATCCAGAGTGAAGCAGTTATAACACCTGCATCGAGTTGAGAATGATAACTCATTAGCTACAAATCACATATCCACTAATATCTTGCTTCTCAAATATCACACAGCATTAATTTGTGTCACGGATTTGTTTTTTGCTTTTGGATTTGAGCTTTGCCAACAAGAGATTTTTCCATCATCAGAAAAATGCTGATGCCTGATAGTAGTCACCTCCTCTCCACCTACAAAGTGATCTTCTTTTCATGTAGCTCAAAGATTCCACTAAAAATTTATAAAAAATAAACAATTTAATTTATTACCTAGAAATCAAAGGTAATACATCAGAGACTCAGAAACATTTTCTCAGTATGCATCCTAATAAGAGAGCACTCTTCATTTTAAACTGCTAAACCCACATGTACTAGTAGTCCAGCCTAAACTGCCAGAGACAAAAGGTGCTTAAGTAAAATTAAGGTGTTCGAGGATTTCCTTCTTCCTGACACCTCTGTGAAATGTAAATCCATGGTCAAACATGAGGAACTGACACTGAGTGGACTCTGTCTCTGCAGAGGAGTAGGCAGTGCCCTGAGAACTGCAAATCACCTGTGTACCATGATCTAGGAACTTCTTGATCTCTCCCTGCACATCTGACCCTCTATCCAGTTGTCTCCACATCTGTATTTTTGGGCTGCGTTTTAGCAGTTCCATTTAGTTTTGAGATAAGTGGACTGAGAATGTAAAATGTCCTTGAAATCTGATTCTTTTGATCTGCAGACAAGTCTACAATGGCTGTTCTTCTGTGATCCCTTACAGAAGGCTAATACCAATCTCTGGTGTTCTAACTTGAGTGAGCAGGTGTGAAGAGAAGGACATAGTCAGGCCCATGACATCCTGTCTATATACTGTGAAGAAGTGTTTGTAAACTATAACTTTTGGGTCCTGTCATTCTGATGACACCAGAGCAGGTCTGAGGGATAAGATACTGCAAAGTTAAGTAACTTCTTTTGTTCTTCAATTCTTACAAATGTGAGAAAAAAAAAGCATCATGAGAAATTTAAAATAAATAAACAAAATTAATTACATTGGTGTCAGAAGGACTCAATCACCTCCCTCTCCAAGGTACTGGAAAATGTAAAAACTACATTTTGAGGTGTTGGCAACATACAAAAGAGCTAAAGGCACCTAATGTACAAGATGAAAAGAGGGTGCAGGCAGGGCATTTACATCCAAAAAACAGTTCCTGAGGAATTCCATGGAACTGCAGTGGAATGAGAATCACATCTACAAATGTCAAACCTGCTGAAAATGGTATGATGGTAAGACAGCTGGAAGATCATGTTCTGAGATGGTCAACATCATTCATTTATACTCTCAAAAGGTCTTTTCCAAAGAGTCTCTTGAGAGGTGAAACCCTATAATGGATCAATAGCTAAAAGACCAGGCAAAGACAAAGGAGAAATGGGAAAAAAGGAAAAGTCTGGAAGGACTTGAAAGGTCAATTTTCATCAGAGGACTAGGCTAGGTGTAATGTGCCTTGAGGTTTCACAGCATCTCTCTGGGTGTTTAATAACAAGATCGCTGTGCACATACACATGTGCCTGCAAGAGATGAACGAACTGTGGCTAAGTATCACAGTGTGGTGAACAGTCCAGTGAACGTCTCTGATGAAAGAGCAATAAAAGAGATAACAGGCTATTAAATGCACAACAAATGAGAGAAAGCTCAATGTGGAAAATATCATAATGTCACTTGTGCTGGTTTCAGCCAGGATGGAGTTAATTTCTTTTTTTCCTCTCAGTAGCTAGTATAGTGCAGTGTTATTCTCACTCATTCAGAGTGAGAATACTGTTGATAGCATACTGATGTTTTGGTTTCTACTAAGTTGTGTTTATCCTAAATCAAGGAAGTTTTCTTTCTCATGTCTTATGCTCTGCCAGTGAGAAGCTACAAAAGAGAAACTGGGAGGGAGCATAGCTGGGACAGGTGAGCTGAACTAGCCAAAGGGATATTCCCCACCATGGCACATCATGCCTAGTCTATCGGCAGAAGGGCCGATCCGGGGGGAGGTTCAGGGTTGCGCCGGTCCGCGGGTGGTGAGCAGTTGTACTGTGCATCACTGATTTTGTTTTGCTGGGTTTTTTCCTTTCATTTTCTTTCTATTATCCATTAGCACTTTAGCTCATTCTGCTCTTTATTATTAAACTGTTCTTATCTCAACCTATGTAATTTATTTTATTTTCTCCTTCCCATTCCTCTGGGTTGGGGGGGAAAAGGAGTGAGGAGGGAGTGTGAGCAGCTGTGTGGTTCTTGGCTGCTGGCTGGGATTAAACCACAACACCAATCCCATCGGCTCACAGCAGGACAGCGAGCCAGGACAGGGCTGTCAAGAATGTGGTAGGCACAAACTCAAGCTTTGCCAGGGGAGGTCTAGGTTGGATATTAGGATTTTTTATGGAGAGAGTGATCAGGCACTGGAATGGGCTGCCCAGGGAGGTAGTGGATTCACCATCCCTGGAAGTTTTTAAGATGAGACAGGATGTGACACTTAGTGCCATGGTCTAGTAACCACGGTAGGGTTGAACTTAATGATCCTGGAGGTCTCTTCCAACCCAGTTGATTCTATGAATGATGAAGTGCTCAAAAAACCTCATACAAGAAAAGCAAGAACGTGATGGACTAGAGAGATCTGATACTAACTAGTTCAGTTCCTAGATTTGCAGATTATTGGCAGTCTGCAGAGAAGAGACTGGACAGGGACTGATGGAGCCTTCCTTTCTGCTTCCAGCTGCTAAAACTTCAGTAAACAACAGCTAGAGACATATCAGATGCTTTACCAGAATTACTTTCCAAGCATGCAATGGCTGCCCCCAGAAAGAAAAGGCATCTATCAGACACATCCTCTGTAAAACTATGACTTCCACTTGGAAAATGAGGGAGGAAAAAATACAGTATACTTTTACACAGTAAGTGCATATTTAGAATAACTGCTGCTATTGATTTTGTTTCTTTTTTAAAATCTGCTACTAATTTCTGGCATGTTGAACATACCTCTGGATGTCAAAAGCTTTGCCAGAATCTGCATAGACTTTCAAGTTACACAGCAGGACGTCACAGGCCTGGTTTATTAGCGGTGTCACCTGGAAAGGAACACATTGTGCTGTGAAAAACATTGAAATGTTCAGAGAAAAACCCACCCAAGCACACAAAAATAATCATTTCAAATGGCATGGTGAGTGGGATAGATGCTCAGGTTCCTCTGCAGGTGTGGTTTGGCACTTTGGCACAGCTAAGATGAAAGGCTGGCACTGAGGCTAAAAGTAAATCCACGCATTACAGGGATGCCCTTGGCAGCTCTGGGCCCAAACACCAGAGGTCCTGTCATCCACCAGGCGTATGGGCCTTGCCCACCTTGGCTATATACAGAGAGAACTACCAAACAAAAACATCCCCTGTTCTTTCAATCCTTCCCCATTCCAGCTGATGATTTATCACAATCCATATTTGAGTTATACACACTCCAGGGCAGAAGGAGCAGTATTTTCCAAAGTCCCCAAATCCTGTAGCGGTATTGGCACCAGAGGCCCAGCACTTCTGTCCTGCTGTCACTCAGTTTGAAGGATTTGACACACATTAGAAAAGCACCATGTATACCATCACAGGGTGTTGAGGGCAAACTGCTATTGCTACCTGAGGAAAGGGTTTTCTGCAGTGATGATTAGACAGACATTCATGTGATTTTATTCAACTGATGGTTCTTTCCAAGCATTGACACATGATGGTTAGGGAGACTTAGCCATAGCCTAGCTGTGGCTAACAGTGCAAGGCTCCTCTTCAGGGCTTCATGGAAACTGTAACAGGCAACCTTCAACACCTCATTAAAATCAGTCTTCCTTCCTTCCTTCCTTCTTTCTCCTTACCTTTCCTTCCCTTGAACTTTTTGCATATGAAAGGCATCAGACGCTTCCTCAATTACACCACCTTGAGGGGCAGAGGAAGGCTGTAGGAGCAATCCAGCTGTGACTCTATGCCCTATGGCTCTTTCCCATACAGACTGCCAAGAGATCCTTACAGCCTGCAACTTCATACCACAGTCTTGCCTCAACAATTATGCCAAGCATGAGCAGACACACACACAGAAACCTGCCCTTCCTTCCTGAACATGCTCCTTCAGCATAAGGATGTCAACAAACATGAGAACAGACTTGTCCTACTCCCCTGACATTCTTGTTACCAAAAAAGACTTACTGCAGCCTTGCAGCACACTCTGAGAGCTGTGCAGCCTGCCCAGCCAAGTCCATTTTGCTTGGCACTTCTACCTCTATGAAACTGGCATAACACTTTGTGCACAGGCACACTGCCATCCTAACACATGGGCAAGACTATAAGCAGTCAAAAGGCCAACATGGGAGCATCCAACATGTTTTCCAAAGGCAGAAGTCTGAATCAAGAATGTGTCTAGCTGCTCTCGAGGTCCTGTGCCTATATCGGAGGAATTTCATTTCGAAGCCAGATTGACTTGGGCCTTGCCACAGTCTCACAAGACAATTCTGAAGCCAGATCAGTATTTGGTAAAAGTAGCTGTCATGTGTTTGGGAGGTGCACACCATATTATGTGTCAGCTTTCTGCCCCATTTGGCTTTCCCAAGAAGGTACCTGCAGTGAGCACCTCCTCAAATGGTTCAACAAAATTAACACATTTCTGTTCAACAGAACAAACCAGGGTGAAACACATTGTAATCTCTGGGTCCAGCCCCTCCAATGAACTGAACCAGTCAAGAAGAACAAAATGAAAATCACTGTTTTAACAGCTATGATGTTTCCTAAACAGATGGTGATCGTTTCAAATTTTCCTTTTACTGCCTTATTTTCTCTTGTATTCTTCACCACATCACCAGATCTGCAGCCACCCAGCTGGCTGGTATTGCTTTGCAGCAGCTGGCAGAGATGTCAGGGACATGCATGTCTGGCCAGGGCATCCCTCAGCACCTCTGCACTCTCCACATTCCACCAGCCTTTCAAAATACTGCTACAATTCACATCTAGTCATAAGGCATTTTTATTAGTAAATATAGCCAGGAAAATGGGGAGAAGGACACATGGATTTGATTTATTGTTAGCATGATAAGACAGACTCATATGAATGAGACAATTATGTGCACATGAGAACTACAGGGGATATATACTCTGCTATCCTAGGTTGGGTTTGGGGTTTTATTCCCCTCAGGGGCAATAAATTAGTCCAAGATTGCGAACTATGAAGACCACAGATTGAAACATTCTCAAGTCCCTTAACACCTTAAATTCTTTGTCCAGTGGTCAAGAAAAATGAACTAGTGTTTTGGGGATGTGAACTGTACCAAACACTGAAAACCAGCCCAAAAACATGTTGATCTGCGCCATCTTGGGTATTGCTGACTTCCCATACATTCTCATTTGCCAGCCAGAAGATAAAACCTGCATAACCTGCCTGAGACTCAGGTCTTGGTGGGTAAACAAATCCCAGCTGCTCTGTGTTCAGATTGGCTGAGAGCAACAGGATGAAGAAAAATCTAAACAATATGGTCCCTGTAAATATTTGATCTGCCAGTTATCTAATAGTAAGAGTAGCCCAGAGTCAAAATTCCTTTCCTTTTGCCAAAGAAGAGCATTTGGGGTTAGGGTTTTCATGCCAGGGGCTTTGCTGCATAAATCCTGCCAATATGCTATTTGGCACCTAACAACACTTAGCTTCCAATTCTGCATATGCACAGTGAATGTGGATGTTTGCACTGCTCAAAGGCATCAGAGTCATGTTCCTCTAGTCAGATGTGGCCCTCAGCATTCATTAGCTTCCCCTCTTTTATTCAGTATTCCCCTTGTTCTTAGCACCCAAATGAAAAAGTAGAAGGCTGGATCATATTCACTGGAGACAGACACACTGGAGGTGTCACTGCTCATACACAGTACACAGAGACTCCGTTGGACTTTTTGTCCCACAAACAGAAAGAAATATAAAGGAAGGAGAAGGAAAATGGTACGTCCCTAATACAGCGATTGCTTCTGTACAAGATTTCAAGTCTCTGTCAAAACCAGGAAAAGAGTGGTGTGTCAGGAAGATGTTTTGTGCAAGGATTTGTTTCCAACACCTGAGAGTGGGGCCCTGAGGTTCCTGGGCATACCCTACCAAAGTGAGCAACTCAGCCAGACACTCACCTGCAGCTCATTTTCCATATCAGCTGTTACATTAGTGACTGGCTTTGCCTCAGGTGAGCACACTTGCTTTGACCAATAACAACAGCCATTTCCAGAGACTTTTCCAGAATGCCTTTGACCAGTGTGCACAGACTAAGAGCAAATCAAGGAAACCTTAATGGTTGAACTGTCAGATCTTATGTCATAGTGGAACATGAAAGATCCTCATGCCTGAGAGTCACACTAGAGGACTTTCCCGCACTGTTCTGCCATGTTATCACAAGTTTGCTTTGTGTCTCCCTTCCCGTGAATGAAAACACCTCAACCCAAACTCCACTCCACAAGTTATTCAGGATAGTGCTGCATTCTGTGCTCTCTTCTTTGATTTTTGTGTTCAGCTTTGTTTTAATGGTTTGTTGATGGAGGAGAGCATTCCTGGCATACTGATACGAGATGACACGACTACAGCAATACCATCAGAATAAATAAAAATCAATAGGTTTTCTGCTGGTGTTGGCTGTACAAGAGAGCAAAACTATTTATCAAGTCTGACAGGGGGTCCAGAATTGCAGGATCATCACAGGCACCACAGCAAAAAGAAGAGGACCAAAATAAGAAATACTAAATAGGGAATCAAGACTGGTACAGCAAGATCACTAGCATGTCAGCTTGTTTCAGTACAGAATAGCTGAGGAGAGCAGGACAGGAACACTGGGAAATTATTCTTTTACCTAGAGCCTCCAGGTATTATAATTCACCAATTCTCTATGAATTACATCTCGGATAAACTTTCAGTCATCGGTATTATTATTATATTATGTCTATATCATATATAGATATTATTATTAACAGATAGAAGTAGTTTATGTGCAGAGAATTTAAGTATCTTCTGTCAGATAATCCACAGGCAGTCGATAGCAGAGCTGGAAATGAAACCTCTTGGGTCTCCTGTCTCACTTCTCATTCTTAGTCCTCCCACAGCAATGGCACTATGAGGTTAATTCAGAGTCTTACTGGAATGAGCTCATTATCAGATCTGCCACCAAATCCAGTGGCATCTCACATGGGATGCTACCAAATCTTACTGCAGAATCAGGCTCAGAAGTCTATTGCTTTATGCTCTGCTCACCACTACAGTAGTATTCATATGTAATGCTATCCAGAGCCAAACCTGCCTTCACTTGGAGTGGAACTTTGCTAATCTTTACATGCTTGTTAGAAAAAACAAAGAATTAAAAGGGAGAACAGTCAGTATACAGAAATCCACAAAAGCAATAGTGAAACAGCGCACAGCTTTTAAAGAGAGACTGAGAAAAGAGAAAGAGAGAAAGCTGGAGAAGATGCCAGAAACTCTTGAAAAATGTTCTGAAAACAACTGTCTGCACACATGCAGCAATCACTACGTTGGCTCCCCAACAGCTCTATGACCTCAGTTCATTGCCTGCAACATTGAAAACTTCAGAATTCCTGGGAGCAACTTTTCATCATTTGGTGACTAGTGGTTGACTTCTGTCAAACTAAGGGGAAGTTCCTGCAGCTCAGTGAACTTCTCAGTGACACTGCACCACTTCTGTGGAGTGACAAGGGCAAAGCATGGCCCTGCTCACAGCTACAGCAGGTAAGTGCCTCTGTGGGACATTGCAGGTTCAACCTTAGCAAGGTGCATTAGCTCTGTCCTGGATCTGGTCCTCCAGCAGCCAGGACAAAGAGTGGATGACTTGGCTTCTCATTCTTGCTAGCCCTTACACTGTCTTTTCTCGTGTTTCTGAAATGGAGGGATCAGGAACCTACAGTCAACTCTCTGTCCTCTGTGCATCTTTTGTCTGAAGTGATTGCTATGGGGAGCACAAGGAGCTGTTAAAATTTATTGCTCTGTCACAGGCTAACAGCTCCCAGTTCTCTCAGAGCATCCAAACAGACAAATCTGTGTTTGGAATGGCACTAGGGGCTGCAGTACTCAAGGGGAACCACTCTCCAAAGACACCCGTGAGGTTTGCGGTCTCTAGCATCACGGGAGAGCTTCCTGAGAGGGACAAAGACAAGGCAGATACCCAGAGTGAACAGAGAGGAAGACTTTGGTGTGGGATTTTATCAGAGCTCAGACCTCTGTGGCAAAGGAATCAATGTCTTGGGAGAAGAAGTAAGGAATGTGTCTAGTAGTATATATAAATATGTATAAAATAACATATCCAGGTTCTTATGCAATAAACTAACACCAAAACTATGTTGTTTGTAACCCTTTGAAGTAGAGAGGAAGGGTTTATTGTAAACAGGATGTCTTCTACATAAGTCTGAATACTCTGTAGCATGGCCAACACTAGAACATGCTTCTGTGCTGTTGCATAGGTTCTGAGAGTACTAAATATGGGCGAGTTAAAAAGTGAGATCATAATTAATGAGCATTGATTTCCTTTGAGAAGTGTCGGTATGGCTTCTAAATTAAGCAACAGCAAGAAAGGCACATGGGCAAGGACTTAAGTTGCATTAACTTCAAATCCCAGGATTGTTACTGGTTTTGGGTAGAAAATTAAATGCAAGGCTGAGGAGTGCATAGTTCAACAGCAGCTCTTGATCTCACTTGGGCTTACTGCAAGTGTCTCTCTGTGCAGGAATAGATGGACTTCTAGTGAAGGCATGGAAGACAGGAACAAAGCTGAGCCTTTCAGAGAAACCTGCCATGCTCTTCTTTTTCCCACTTGCTGCAGACTGGGAGGAGAAAGGGACCATTTCCAGGTCACCCAGAGCGCATGCACAATCGCACACCTTCCACAGAGCTTGGACGAGGCAGCATGGGGAAAGCTGATTAGCAGACTGAAAATGAAGATCTCAGTCATTGCATGTGACACAGCTACCAGGCACTGGCCAGCCCTCCACTCTAACTCCTACCGCTACTTCTGCATTCCAGCTCCGCCATCATGCATTGCAAAGGGAGTGCCATGACTTCCCCTCCCACCCTGGTTTGACAATTAGAGAATCATAGACTTTTAGGGCTTGGAATGGACCTTAGAGATCATCCAGTCCTAACCCCCTGCCCTGAGCAGGGACACCTCCCATCAGAGCAGGTTGCTTAAAGCTTCATCCAACCTGACTGTGAACACTGCCAGGGTTGGGGCAGCCACAGCCTCCCTGGGCAACCTGTGCCAGTGTCTCACCACCCTCACAGGGAAAAGCTTTTTCCTAATGTTGAGCCTAGATTTCCCCTCCTTCAATTTGTACCCATTGCCCCTTGTCCTGTCACTGCAGCTCCTAACAGAGTCCCTCTGCAGCTTCCCTGGAGCCCCTTCAGATCCTGGAAAGTGCTCTGAGGTCTCCACACAATCTTCTCTTCTCCAGGCTGAACAGCCCCAACTTCCTCAGCCTGTCCTCATAGGGGAGGTGCTCCAGTCCTCTTAGCACATTTGTGGCCTCTTCTGAACTTGCTCCAACAGTTCCATGTCCCTCTTATGCTGAGAGCCCCAGACCTGTGTGCAGTATTCCAGGTGGGTCTCACCAGAGCAGAGGGGAAGAATCACCTCCTCTGACCTGCTGTCCGCACAGATCAGTCAGACCTGGCAAACCCATGCACACCCAGCCCCAAAGCAGGACACCTAGGACTCCTGCTCACCCTCACCATACTCCTCAGCCCAGCCTGCCTGGCTGGTGCCAGCAGAGGTTGCTCTCTACAAATTGAGGGGAGCATGGCGTTATCTATTGTCAGTCCAGCAGCAAAGAGCTGATGACCTGCAGTAAGGCAGATTAATTTCCTCTCGGAAAATGCAAAACTCTCCTCTCCCCACCATGCCATGTGCAACTAATCGCTTGCATATTTAACCACCCTTGCCTGGCTAAAATTTCATGATGGAGTCGGTGACAGAGCAAATGTCGGGGTGCATAACCAATGGCATTGTCAGTCGTGATTAATCAGCATCTCTGCCAGGCTAGTGGCCAATTAGAATTTACCATAATAAGGAGGTGACAGCCGGCGTTGCTAAGCGACTGCTGTCTATAGAGCTGGGAGAGCCAGACACATTTAGATGTTACTGTGGATTTCGACAGCGGCATGTCAAAACAACACAGGCGTCTGCCCAGTGGAAAATTTTATAACCCAAGACTGGGCACCAGAGTGAGGCATGATTCCCTCTCAGAATAAAACACATAAAGAAAGAGGCGATTTTTTTGCTGTGGGGTTGGTTGGTTTTTTCCCACCTTGAAAGAAGACTTTACCCAGTCAATCATTTATCTGCATTTAATTAAGAGATATCGTGTCACTGGACCAGGGCTTTGTGACTGGGTAATGGGTTCCCGTGGCTGAGCAAATGCTGATACATTTGTAGGAAATTAGCAGCAGGTCAGCACAGAAACATTTATTTTCAGTCCGAGGTATTTATCTGGCAAAGACATTCTGTTCCAGTGACTTATTTTATTATATGAAAGGATTAAAGAATAAAAGCAGAAGGGGAGGGGAAGGGGATGGAGAAATGAAAATAGACTGACAGCAGTTCCTGTGTTAACATGGAAGTTGCTGACTCTGCACATCATGTAAAGCTATGTTCCAATGGGGAGCAATAACCTTCCCTGTACTTAGCTCTCTCCTAACAGGGCAGGAAAGAAAGGTGTAGGGTCCTTCCTGAGTATGCTACACTTTCACGGCCAAACTGGCTTATACAGAGGAACACAGAGAATCATATCCTCAGATGAGCTACCCTGACTTTCACCAGTCTATGACCTGGACCATGCCATACGTATGCTCCGCTGCATGTGCTCTTCAGGTCTAACCTGGCACAAAGCAGCAGTTTTTACCTGTCCTTAGTAAGGATCTACATAAAGCCTGCACAAGTCTTCTAAATTACTCAAGCAGCACCGTGTGCACCTTACCTCTTTCAGTTTGGTGTCGCTGAAGGCTGGGGTCAGGAGGCTCCGCACATACTTCCATCTGTCGTCACGGAGACAAAGGATGCTATCAAGCATTGGCTTGGAAATCAAGTTTGACTTCTACATCAAAAGAAAACATAATTCAGTTTTAGCAAAAATGCAACTAGAGTTATTCCAGACTCTGAAACTTAGAAAGATTGGCCATGCATGGCTTTGCACTGCTGTCCCATGACGAGAGAGGTTTGAATCAGTCCCAAACACCAAGTTAAATACGGATGAGGCTGGAGAAAATTTCTCTGTTACTGCACTCATTTCCTCTTAGACTTGTCAAAGCCCCAGGCCAGCCCAGTAACTCCCTGCTCAGACTGGTTTGGTCCTGCTGTTCCTGGTGTTCTCCTGAGATTGCCAGTTCACCTTCACTGAACCCTGGCTTCTTTCCTCCTTTATAAGGTGACTAGCAAGATGACTTGTCAACACTCCCTCTCCGTGTGACATGAGTGCCAATGCATCACGTGCGGGTGTTGGTGGGGGACATGGCTCTGGTGACAATTGCTATGTCAGACTGCTACATGCATTTTAAAAGTCTTCAAAAAATATGCTGATTAGAAAGCAAGTCCCAGTCCTTACTCTGTCTATAAGGAACACTCTCACTAAGAAGTTGCGGCCTGTAGCTCTTCAGGCTACAGCAGTTGGTGAAACACTGTAGCTTAAAGCACTGCCCCATGAAGTTCTGTACCGAGATGACAACTATAGATTTACTAAACTTTAATCTCCCCCACCATCCAAGAAATTCCTAACCAGAGAATAGTGATACTCACCAAGGAATAGAAGAACATAGAGATGAAAGATAAAGACTGTCAGAAAGCAACATACTTTTGCCTGGAAGAGGCATCAGGAGATGTCCAACCCCACAGCAGAATCTATGACAACTTGTATTATTCTCAGAGGATGTTTCCTAACTGTTCCTGAAGGCCTCCAGGCTGAACAACCCCAGCTCCCTCAGCCTCTCCTCATGGCACTTGTGCTCGAGTCCCTTCACCAGCCTCGTTGCTCTTCTCTGCACCTGCCCCAGCGCCTCAATACCCCTCCTGAACTGAGGGGCCCAGAACTGTACACAGCATTCAAGTTGTAGCCTCACCAGCACCGAGTACAGGGGCA